AAAGACTTTCGGCAAAAGCGTCAACTTGCAAGGAAAATAAGGCATAGTGGGTCCCACAGAAGTGGAAGTGGGCTCCATTCCAGCTTTTTCAAACACCTTTCTTTTCTCTTTTTTTTTTCTTTTTTATTTTATACACGTGTATTTTTCACTACATAACTTTTAAGGTAAGTTATTGGTAAAAGGAGAATAAATAATTAAAAATATTTGAAATGTGAAATTTTCAAGGCCGAACACGTGGCCCAATAGGGATATCTCCCACCGCTCCATGTGAAGTGGCCGCATGCCAATCGTTCAGGTTTTGTCTCCTTTCCATTGTGAAGTTATATTACGAAATTACCCTCCTTCACTTTGCAGTCCCGCCTCCCCTCTCCTTTCTTAAGGATGTAGGGGTGACAACAAGGCCTTTAAGAAATAGGGTTCGGGCCACAAAATGTAGCACACTTCAGCCAACTCAAAATAGAGCTGGTCCGGTTTGGCTATTTTTTCTTTATTGCCACTTTTTTTTTTTTTTTTATTCTATTTGGCCTGTGACAGGGTCGCTTTGCCTGGTTTTGGTCTGGGTCAGCTTTGTTGGGGTTGGAACCAAGGGGTGCCCAACTTCTTTGGCCCATTTTGGTTCGGGCCCGCTTTGATGGGGTTAGGTCCAGCCTGTTTCCAACCTTGTGACAATGCGAATAATTAGCTCCAATAAGTGTGTTGGGCCCGACATAGAGGGCGAATCAAGGCGATATGAATTGGGTTTGAGATTGATCCACAACTCAACAGATCCAGGACAAGGTCGACCTCACTCGGACCCAACTTAGTTACAACCCTTCCCCGTCGGGTCCTTTGGCAGGCAGTGTCTTCCTTTATATGTGATTGGGTCACATTCAAATCCATGGGGCCCTACATGCTATATATTGTGGCCACACCGGGCCACCTGACCCATTGCCAAGCCCAGCCTATTGAGATTGGGGCCCTAAAATCTTGCAACAAGATTCCTAGACTTCTGTACTCAACTCAGATTGCGTGTATCTAAATTTAGCCTCTTGATAGGTATTGAAAATAATAAATCATTTCCAAAAGGAAGAAGGAAAAGCATGCAATGATGGGTGCTTATCACAAATATCCACCATCCATTGTCCATTGTCGACGACGATGGGTGCTTATCACGAATTGTTCCTCTCCTGATGTTGATATTGTTTGTTTGATGCGGCATGCAATACACTGTACACTCATTAACAGGATCCCTTACCATACTGCATGTAATGTCCACATTTGTATTGTGCCATTGCAACGACAGTGCGGTGTAACTATATGATGTAGTGCATAGTAATTGACTTACACTAGAGTTATCATCATCATCATTATTTATTACTATTTTATAAAATCGATATTAGTGTTGCTAAATAAAAATTGAAACAAGTCTTATGAAAAAAAATAGCTAGTTCTTTTGAAGGCTTGGCCATATGGTTCAGAGCCAAACCACTAGATCCTCTTCCAAATTAAAGATGTTGAAGGCTAATTTTAAACATCTTATCACTTCTCGTAGACGGCGATTGTCGTCTCGGATAGAGCGCAGTCGCGAGTGGTCCATGAAGCTTTATGCATAGTATATGTCAAGAAAAGCTTTCAAGTATGGTATGACCATCCAATTTGGTTTTGGCAAAGCTCAAAAGGGAATATATACTATAAAACCATTTATCTTTTCATACAAGATGGTTATGGGCAACCTTGCCCATCAATCGTGATGATCGGGCAACTAGTAGTACATCATCTTTATGCATAGAGTTTAAAAAATATTTATCAAATTTTGAGCATGATTAATAGGATATTTTATGCCGATTCTTTATCTAACAACTAAGAATGGTTGTGGCCTTGTTGGCTAGAACTTATTATTTTTTTTGGGTAATTTAGTGGGGATTATAGGTCTCTACCCGTTTTTTGAATTAATTAATGATTTTTGAAACTCGGTGAAATTAGGAAGCCATGCCATGTGCAGTTGAGATATAGAGTGTGCTACGATAACGACCTGGCCCCCTTCCCAAAGCTTACTATTCACTTTCAAATAACGTAAAGAGTACTTTCGAAATTTATCTTAAATTGTGGGGTAAATTACCCCATCTGATGCACGCGCCATGAAAAGCTCCCCAAGATTCCACCCTAGGAAAGTAAAGGGCGGCCTATGTAGAATTCACTGGCTTCAAACCGCCTTCCTTTTCATAGTTTAAGGTACCGAAACTTAACTGAAAAACATTCATTTTGGGATAATTATTAATTGAAAAAAATTTATATAAAGTGTCAACTTTATATTATACAATATGTACCTAAAAACCTACTAGAGTAAGTTGTTAATATGCTAGAAAACCTTCGAATATACCATCTCAAACTCAAGATTCATTGATATAAAAGAAAGTAGATTTTTTTTGTTTTAAAAATGGTTAGTCTTCTAACACATTATCTAGATGGTTTATCTTCAAGTGCTTATATATCTTATTGATTATCACCATTTTTAGTACTTTAAATTTCATACTTATAGATAACAATACATTTTCATATTATCACAAGGCTTTGCGACACCAAAACTACATTTGTGAAATAATTTTGAAATTCCTCAATAGTATAACGTGGACACCTTGTAAAAACCTTTATGATTGTTTAGAGCTTAGGCTATATGTAAACTTTTCCCTTAATATATAATTATTTTAAACCCATAAAAATAACAAAAATGGGTGTCACGTCGGCATTAACATAAAAAAGATAGGGCAGTGGGGGATGTACATTTTTTTTCTTCAATGTTAGGCCACCACGAAAGCTGGAAAGGCAAGGATTAGAAGAAAATAAAAAAATAAAAACAATCATAATTATATTATTATTGTTATTATTTTATTTATTTTTTTTTGTAAAAAAAGTTCGTGCTTGTCACAAAATGCCGGCCTCTAGGTGCCTGCCAAGTCAGCACGGCCCACAATTTTTTCTCGTTCAAGGGCTGGAAAACATGACACGTGTATCATACTATTGGGAAAAGATACTTTGACACCAGGGCATTCGGCGTAAAGAGATTGAGGACATACTGGGCATTGGGAAAATGACTTAACCATCGGTCAATTTTCCACTACCTTGTTAGCTAAGTTAAGTTTTATAGAATTTGGAATTATTTGTGTGGTTGGTAAGATATTGCATGTGGCCTACATTCCATGGCGATGGAAAAGCAGCTTTTTTTTTGGGGTCGTGCCTCCTTTTTTTTTTTTAAAAAAAATAGTAGTGATCATGTAGCTAGGTTTCGAAATGGAAAAGTTTATATAAGGTGTCAACCTTATACTATATAAGTAAGGTGCACCTAAAAATCTATTAGAGAAGGTTTTTTCTATACTGAAAAACTGTCAAATCAATCATCTTGACCTCGAGATTTATGTACATGAAAAAATGGGATTTCTAGTCTTAAAATTAGTCATCTTCTAATACATTATCCAGACCGTTCATTTTCAAGATTTTAAAGTATTTATAAATCTACTTGATTATCACAATTTCTAGAACTTTAAATTTCATAGTTGGGAGCAATAATTAATTTTCATCTCATTGCAAGGTTTTTGTAGCATCGAAACTGCATTTTCAACATAGTTTTGAGGCGCACCTTATTTCAATAGTGTGAGATTGACACCTTATACAAACCTCACCCTTTTCATATTCCAACGTTGTGAAAGGTTGTATGGTTTTGATTTTCCTTAAATCATTAAGGTTTATGCGCGAAAATACATTCCAAAAAAAAAAAAGCTCTACGAGGGAAAATGCTAGAGCCAAGTTTTATGGTGATTGCCTTGGGGCATCACAACTCTATTAGAGCCGCGATACCCTCGATACCCCAGCTTTCCATGTGGGTGTCCATCTTAAACCTGTCATCACAACTCTATTAGAGCCGTGATACCCCAGACACCCCAGCCTTCCATGTGGGTGTCTATCTCAAACCTATCATCACAACTCTATTAGAGACATGATACCCAGACACCCCAGCTTTCTATGTGGGTGTCCATCTTAAACCTGTCATTCAAGGTTTAAGATGAATCTAGGGCCAGCACCTCTTTGTTAAGGGACGTAGTAGTATTTGCTAATACCCCACAAGTTACGTACAAATGGAAAATCGGTCGGTTTATCAGTTATACTCTTTAATGAGGTTATTGTAAAAGGCTTTACAAGAATTTTAGATAAATAGAAAAAAGATAACCATAATTAGACCAAGAAATCCAATCTCTCACTGTGTTCCCTAATCACTCTCCTATGGAAAACAGGGATATTAGTGGGATAACCGGATGCTTTAAATGCACCTAAGGGTATACCCATAAAGGTTCCCTTGCATGTACTGGTCTAGGTCACAAGTACTTACATCCATCTCATGTGAAATCTGATAGTTTGGATGTGTCATAAAGTTTGAGAATATTTCATTTGAAGTTTAAGTTTGGTTAATCGATATATCTATCTATCCAATTTCACATCAAATGATCACGATTAATTGTGACCACCTTGTACCAAAGGTAAATAATATCACTTGTGTATTTTTAATTCATATGTTTATGATTTTTTAAAAGAAAAAGTTCATATAAGGATGCAACCTTATAATGTAGAGCTACGGATGCACCACAAAAATCATCGAAAAAGGTAGTTTTAATGTTGAAAAACCATTTGATTGATCATCTCAACATCGGGATGTATGACCATAAAAGATAAAAAGATTTTAAGTATCAGAAATAGTGCATTTTACAACATATTATCTATACCGTTTATTTTCAAGATTTTCATATGTTTATAGATCTACTTGATTTTCACAATTTTTAAAATTTAAAATTTTATAATTAGATATAAAAATAGATTTTGAGATAATCATAAGAGCATTTTACATCAAAATTATATACCACGATAAAATCAAAATTATATACCATGATAAATTTTATGAAGGTGCAACCTTACCTCTACATCAACGGATGCATCCATATGCCAACTGCACCCTTTTTTAAAACATATAAGAATATTTTTGATAACTCTAAGAATATTTTTGATAACTCCTTCTCTTCTCAAATAGTAATGCCTTTGTGGCCCCTTGGATGCACTGCCGTTGAAAGTTTTCGAATGGACTCTCGATTTTTATAGCAATTTCACGATCCGTATGTTTGTTTTCTTTTCACGTTGAAGTTTTACAACTTAAAAGCCCAGATCTCCCTCTCAACGAATGTTATAACTTCTATAAAAGAAACTAAAACCCTAAAATCTTCCAGATCTCTCGAAACAAGAACCCTGGTCCCAGTCGTCAAAGAAACATTTGTCTCTTGAAGCCCTAATATTTAAGATCGACTAATAGTGAGTTGGAGATATCGTCTGATCGCACCGAAAAGCACTCAATCAAGCCAAATCCTTAATCACCAGGTACACTTCTGGTTTTTTCTGTTGTATCGAGTTTCGCTGGGAGTTTATAGTGATTCTTGCCAGTAATTTTGCTTTTATTTGCAATTAATGTTTGATTACGAGCAATGAAACCATCTGTATGTAGTTTTGATATGATTTGCAGTTATTTGAATGTCATTACAATTATCTGCAATTATTTACATTGATTAAATAACATTTTGCAGTTTTTTGTAGTGATTTACAGTGATATATATAGTTTCATAGTGACTGAATAGCCCATTTTTTTTTAAATGTGATTGAATAACGTTTCTTCAGTGATTTACGGTGATTAAATAGCATCTATCTCTCTCTTGTTGGTTCAATTTGATTTTGAAAATTGGTGACTTTGTAATGCAAATCATTACTTGGGTTCGTTTTTTTATTGAACTTTGTTTCAGCTAGATGTTAATCTTGATCTGATGCTGTAAATTTAAACTGGGTTCTCTGTTCTCAATTGATTTGCTTTTCATGAAATCAAGCATCCTCAGCTAGATTAGTGTGTTTATTGTCTATATTTCTTAACATGCTTTTCTTACTGTACATTTATATGTTTGAGCTACTTGACATTTGTTTACACGCCAAATAAACAATACTTATTGTTTTTGATAGTATTTTATGATGCCATTGGGTGTTCTAAGGCCATAGGATTTATAAATTTTAGATTTTAATATATAGTGATACTTCAACTAAATTAACTGCTGCCCTCTTAATTCGAGGTTTACAAGAACTGCAATTTTAGTTAGGTTTATTCATTGCTATGGAAGTCATGAATGAAGCAGAATTTGATTGTCTTATGCATGGTAATTGAATGAAACCTGTTTGGTTCTTATTATTATTATTTTTTTTTTGAAGAAATGTTATTGTTGGGGCATTCTGTGTGGTTGGTAGGATATTATCCCATGTATTAATCACAAAACTATATTCTCAAAAAAAAAAAAATCACAAAACTGAGCAATACTATGCCATTGGGTGTTTTTGATATTATCCAAATAAACAATGCTTTTTGTTTTTGATATTATTTTATGATGCCATTGGGTGTTCTTAGGCCATAGAATTTATAATTTTAAATTTTAATATACAGTGATACTTCGACTAAATTTACTGCTGCCCTGTTAATTCGAGGTTTACAAGAACTGCAATTTTAGTTAGGTTTATTCATTGCTATGGAAGTCATGAATGAAGCAGAATTTGATTGTCTTATGCATGGTAATTGAATGATACCTGTTTGGTTCTTATTATTATTTTTATTTTTGAAGAAATGTTATTGTTGGGGCATTCTGTGTGGTTGGTAGGATATTATCCAATGTATTAATCACAAAACTATATTCTCAAAAAAAAAAAAAATTCCACAAAACTGAGCAACACCATGCCCTGGAGGCTCTAGTTTGAAAAGAAAGTACGGTCCCTCTTGAAGGGATTGGGACTTGGGTTGTTCTCTCTCCATTGTCACCCATCATGCAATGGACAGATAGGACCCATTGGATTCGCATTGCATCATCTAATGCCACCGTTTGATCTTGTTTGTTATTGCAATATTTGGGTGCAAAGGTATATACATAAAAAGTATGGTACAATCTAATAGACCATTGAGAACCTATAATCCATCGAGTCCTTGCAATGTTGGACATTCTTGACCATAGAGTGGGACGTAGTACAGGTAATGTCCTATTTTATTGGAACTTCTTGTTCATCAATGCTTATAAGCCAAGGCATACTTTGAAAAATTTGGTTGAGTACGTAGATCCAAATTCATTATGGGGGGGCTTTTAGTAACTTGGTTGCATAGGAACAAAATGCATTACTGCATTTGTATAGGACTTTTCTAGGCCCATCCAACATGCAAAAATGGTGTGCAGGATTTATGGTGAAGTATCAAGATATCACAGACACCAAGAGACTAATTTTAGGTATTTTTCTTAACTAGTGTAAAGGTCAAAAAGCTAAGCTCATCACATCTTGGATGTCAGAAGTAAAATCTTTCAGATATAAACCTACAAAATCAAGATATGATCATATAAATGCCTAGGTTTCTACTATCCATAGTTTCAAAAAGTGCTAGGTGGGTCCTAGTTGGCCTAGGGGGTCCTTGTCGCCCAGTGCCTAGGCGGGCACCCAGAACCTGGGTGGCCCAGTTGAATCCAAAAAGGATTCTACAGTTTTATATTGTATTAAAATATAAGTATTAGGTATTAGGGCACATCATAATTCAAAGTATACTACACATAGCACACACTCCATAAGAATAACCATAAGTCGGTCCATATCCAATTAAAACTTGAAATTTACCAACCAAATTATCAAACCAAAATTACCAAATACCAAACCAGTGGAACTACAAATTCACAATCCACAATACCACAATACACAACCTAGAGGAAGAAAACAAAAATGAAAGTAATACTCGAAGACTCAAAAGAATATTCAATAGTTCAATCAATGTTCATCATTATTCAACATTCATCAATCATCATAAGAAAAAGTAGGGTCAGCGGCATTTGGATCATATTCATCGCCATCGGAGTTGTCACCTTCCTCGACATATTGGTCGTCGTCCTCCGTCGCTTCTGAATCTGCCTCTTCTTCCTCCTCTTCCTCCACTCTCGTCCTCTATGCATAAGATCTAGTGGCCTTAGGAGGGTCAGCGGATGTCCCTGAAGCATCCATGACTATGTCCCATGTCATCATCAACTAACCACTCCATAGCATTGTCAATATTTTTTGATCTAATGGGATCTCTCTTATCTCTCTTAGCAAATCTGTCATTCAAGAATCGATTATACTTGACATAGACTAGGTCATTGAGCCTCTTTGATTCAAGCTTGTTCATTCTCTTTGTATGAATCTAACAAAATCAAATGAAACTAATTCAAATCTATGGTTCATGTATTATTAATACAATTGTACAAAATACCCTTACGGCCTTACCCCTTTAAAAGTATTCCAATTGCGCTCACAACCGGATGAGGAAGTGGTTAGGTTTAAGATCCAAATGGCCAACTTTTGTAAATTTGGAGAACTACACCCATGTTGACTCCACCAATTGGCTGCACAGATATAGAATAAAATTATAAATAAATAATAGAATTATAAAAATAAAATTCGATTACTTGAACTTGATGAGCTTAAGAATATTATTACTACTCGGATCAATTTTGGTCCTTTGCCTCATCGCCATTGGACTCCCAAAAGACTTTAATGAGTACCTGTAATTTATCAACTCATCAGCACATATAATATCCTGGATATCAGGATCATGAACTAGCTTATCTACACACTTATTAAATCCATTCATAATTGTGCCATTTGTGTGTATATTATTGTCAACGTAAAAAAAAGTTGGGTTCAAATAATAACCAGTTGCATGCAATGGCTGATGTAGCTGCCTAGCCCACTTCTCATCAATAATCTCCCAAACAGGCTTGTAGTGGTTTGCATCATCATCAAAATTTTGGGCTATCTCTCTTTTGCATTTCTCCATAGCTTCATATATGTAGCCCATAAAAGCCTTGACTTTGACAAGAGGAAAAAATACCTTAAGAGCGCCTTTCACCCCTTGCCAAAAAGCCTTAGAAAGGATAATATCTCTCACCTTCTTTCTAACCTGATCCTTGGACCACTTGCATGCTCTCCAGTCATCCGAGGTAAACATCTACCTCAACTACACTCTCCTCGATTGTATGGTATCTAGGCATAAGTACCAGGTCGCAAATCTCTTCACCCCAGGCCTCACAATCTCTTTTTTCTTTGTAAATTTATGCATCATGCTGAGGGTGAGATGGTGGTTATAAATGAAATTTGTAACTGACTTTGCCTGCTTCACTGCACTTGATATCTCGGTTAAACCGCTAAGAGCCTCAAGCATGAGGTCTATACAATGTGTTGCACATGGTGTCCAAAACATCATAGGATATGCTATGCGCAATAAATTAGCTGTAGCAACATTAGGAGCAGCATTGTTTGTGATAACCTGTACAACAACATGCTCCCCAACCTCCTTGATTCCCTTCTCTATAACTTGGAATATGTAATGGGCATGATGGATATGATCAGAGGCATCAATAGATCTCAAAAAAAAATCCCTAAAGGACAATTCACCAGCAAATTCATCTGATTTCTTCTCTTCTTATCACTCCAAGCATCAGTCATAATATAAACCTCATATTGAGCCTATGCATCCTTTTTAACTTCTGCAGCTTCCTTCGTGACACTCACCACTTTTTTCAAAAGAGGTTCTGAAAGCTCATATGGAGTTGGGGTTTCACCCCAGGCCCAAATTGGCCAATTGCCTCTACCGTGGCATAGAAGATGCTTAGGTGAGCGGTATTGAAAGGAATGCCTGCCTCATAAAACCATGTAGCAGCATAATAAGCAGCTCTATCTCTCTGTTTCTTCTTCATTTTACTTTCAATGGTGATTTGCTTCTTTGTTTTCTCTCTTGCAACATCAGGGTCAGGCCGAGGCAAAAAACTATCCATAGGGCCTCTAACTCGAGGCTTCTTACTCTTAGTACCAGAAGCAATTACAACTTCCTTTCCCTTCCCCCTAATAATAGATTGTTCTACTTCTTGACAGTCCTCCCCAATCCTATCCTCATCACTATCATCATCATCATAATTGACCGAACTCCAGACCTAATATCGGCTATGAGGCAAATATTTCATATTTTTTCATTTTTACCATACTAAAAAAATTGGTTATTTCCTCTTTAACAGTATCAAAAGTCTTTTTACATGGGGCAACATCCCCCTTGATATTGGCAAGATGTTTCTTGAACCGGTTTATGCCTCCTTTTGTATCCTTCTCACAAAACTTGCATCTTATGCAATTTTTATTATTAGGATCTGGGTTGTAGCCATATTTCCAACCGGGATCACCACTCCTAATAGATTCCGAAGAAGACATCTCAAAATAATACAACTTATACAAGCAATAAAAAAAATCACTTACTTTGATTGCTCAATCTCCAAACTTCTACCTTATAG